AGTAACTAGAAATTAATTTTCATATTTTCATATTAAATTCCATTCTTCTTTAAATGTTTTTCAAAGTTTTAGCTTTTCACAGAGCATAAAGGACTTCACCTGAGTCATATTTTAATGTGCTATTTAAATAAAACTGAGTGGAGATTGTTAATAGAATGATGAATTTCAAGTGTTTATATCTCTTAATTTAGAGGGTTATTAAGATGAATAAATAAAAGCCTAAAGGGTCCTGCGAAGATTAGAAAAGATGTTAAATCATGCCCTTATTTGTAAAACAGGACCTATCAAATCCTAAGTGCAAAGACCAAACATTTAATGAACAAGATAACCTGAAGCAAAGTTAATTATCTTTATTTGTTATATTCAAATTTAAAGAGAGTCTATTTTGTTCTTTCAATAGCAGTTAGTCTAAACTAGGGTTCCTCAATTAGAAGGATGGGTGTCCTGCACCTTTTAGGTGTGTCTCTGTTTCCACACAGGTGAATTAAAACTCTTCAGCATACAGTCCTGCTAATGACCTGACTAACTTACTTGTCTCTGTTAAGGCAGAGACACAACTTAAAGTTGCAGGACACTAGGCCATGAGAATTAACAAAACATTTTCTAAAAAATCTAAACTTTCATGATTTAAATCTAGAGATGTATAATACTGAGCATTCATTCAATAATAACTAGTGAGTTATTCTTCATCTTGCACTTTTGGAAATAATTTAAAGCCCTAGAACATTAAGACTTAAAATGGTCAGAAAAACAAGAACTAAAAGCCTCATTTAAGCCTCATTAATTCAGATTTCTATTTAACTTTAAGCATGCAAAATTATAACCCCAATTTTAAAAAAACACCAAATAAGTCTAATGCTCCAAGAACAAAAAAAAAACTAACAAGAATATGATAGTAAGATGAAGGTTTAAGTACCACCAACTCAGAAGAGGTGATGAATTTGGCCTCTTTGAATGAACCTCGCTATTAGTGAGTCAACATTGGCATTCACGCTAAATTATTTCAGAGTCAGATCCAGCTTTATCTGAAGCTAAACCAACAGGCAGAAATGATATCCCTCAAGCAATGATGAAGTGTTAACAAATAGAGACAAGTTTCAGATGCTAACAGATAAAAACGAGCTCCTGAACTACTGAGATCAATTCAGCTTTACACACAACCCTTTAATTCTGGTTCTGTTTTTAGTTAGCAAATAATGACTCTGTGGAATCTATTGTACCTGTGCAAAAACTCAATGCTTTTATTAGCGACGCCCAGCTGGATATAGCCCTGTTTGGGATTTATACATTTCAATTACATGCTCAACTTCCTGGCGCCACACAAACATTTCCTTTTTAACAATGAGATTCAGAAGTAATAAAAAGACCTTTTTTAATTCAGTCTTGAAGCTTCCTATTGACTCACAGTTAAAGGTGTGTGGGAACATAAATGATGTTATTTCCATTCATGCAAAGGCCTCGTTTTGTTTCAGCTCGGAAATTGTGAGGGGGTTACTAAGACATTCTTTAGATGCATTAGTGATTTCCTATCGATACGATGCTAATTACAACCACAGCCATAAAAGAAATCCCAGAGACTCTTTCTAATCAGAAACATCTTAATGAATCATTTGTGTCCACTTCCCCTCATGCCAAGCAAGCAGCTATAATGGCCTCCGTGCCGAACCGGACAAACGTTGCTGAGCTAATAAGAATCCAGTTTCAGGTATTCGGTGAATATGTTAGTGGGCGTCAGAAGGTGGAGGAACCAATCTGTGATGGCAGACTGGTGGAGATCAGTTGGTGCTTTTTAAAAAGGTCTGAAGCAACAAATGTGACAGAAGACACAACAAGGTGCCAGACAAGACACAAGGTAAGAAATGACCAACATGTCGGAAGAGCTTTTTATATGTTGAGGGAATTGTTTCAGCTCCTGTTTTAATCTTATACCTGATGGTATATCAGGATGTGCAGAGCAGCTAAGAAGTAGTAGAAAAAGGAATGGGGGTTTAGTTAACCAAGTTCCAACTTAAATTAGAAATATGTGGTTAGTAAAATCACAGTAAGTTGAAATAATTAGATATTTTAATTACTTAGCATCATATTTATAAACCTTTCCTGCATGTCCTCATGTTGTCTTTAAGATCACAGATCTTTATACATAAAATGATGACAAGCACATCTGTTCTGCGACCAGGCAGCACCCATATGGGAAGCTTCTTTTTCAGAAAAAATATGAGCACTGCTTCTTCGGTCTAAGTTGTTTTCTAAGGGTGAATGCATCATGATTCATTCTGCTAATTGTACTCATAAGAAAAGGGATATAGGTTTTGCTTTGATTAATGGTAATGTCCTAATAATACAAATATAATAATGAATACTTTTAGCTATATGAGGCTTAGATCACACGGTTATATACCGTATTAGGGGCAACTTTACTATGCACCAGTCTGCTCAATTAACGTACTTTCTGAGTTGAAGAGAAAAATTTGTATGTCTATAGTCAATTGTCTATTGAACTATTTTGCTTTTTGAGTCTTGATGTAAAGTATTTTATCATTTGGATTAAAAAAAGAAAAAAAAAGGACAATTTTAAACTGAAATACAAACTAAAATGAATGTTTATATTCTGACTCTCTTTATGTTAGATATAGTAAAGACTCATTTTGTTGCTGTCTATGATTTCTGCAGACATATATTTTTTTTCTTTCATAAACATTAATGAAGAAACACTTTTTTTCTGAATTTTAGGGTAGTTTTAGACTAGGCTGAACACTTACTTGCAAAATATTAGGATACTTAGTTGTCTTTCTCAAACTTGCTAAACCTGTTTTAAATCAGTTAATATAAAAAATATTTTTACACTTGGTTAGGTTATTATAGCCTAGACTCACATCAAATGATTTATCACAGTAATAATGCTTTAGCTGAAAATTAATTAGGAAATAAAACTAATCCTGTTTCGTTTTTTTTCTCATAACTCAAGTTTACTCTTTTATTTTTATTTATTTTTTACAATTTCTACCAAAGCCTTTTCTTTCTTATACAACTGAGCCAATCTGAAAAAAAGTCTTAAGTTTTTATTTAACCAATGCTTTTATGCCCAGTATAACATGCTCATTGCTGCTGTTTTCATGTAGATGAGACTGCCTTTCCGTATTGGTGCCTCACAGGTCATCCTCCTCTTCCTCGAACTCCTCTTCCCAGTCCCACCAACAGTTTCCACACATCCTCTGTCCTCCTTGGCCTTCTATCCCACACTGGACAGGCGTGAACTAGAGTCACCTCTGTATGACCTCAAGTCTCCTCTGCAGGACCTCAAAGACCCTAAAAACTGGTCAAACTGGCCTCAAAGCCCTCAGAATACTCTCTCAGAGTCTGAGGAGAAAGATGAATCATGGGAAGAAATGCAGCTGCTGAGGGCCCAGAGAGGAGACCTCCTGGAGCTCCCGCTCTCTCCATTCGCTGGGGATAACTCGCTGGAGATCAGGAACTATAAGGAAGGAGGAGAAGGGGAGGAAGGCTGGAAGAGGAACGACGCTCTAACCTCCATGGCCGGAGGGCTTCAAGCTGTCAGCCGAGAAAAAGGAGGATTTGGTTTCCGCTTCGGGAGGAAGAGACGGCGAGAAAAGGGGAGAAGGGGTGGAAGGGTAATGGAAGAGGCTGGAGAAGAGAGGACAGGTGAAAGCAGAAAGAGAGGTTTCAGCTGGGAGAAAAGATTGGACTAAGAAGGAACAAAGTTTCTAAGAGGTTTTATTAAAAATGCAAGTCTTGGGTTAAACAGAAGTAAGATTTTTTTGTTTGTTTTTCCTTTATTCAGACATAAAGAAGCAGTCAGTTGTATCTAATGCATTTTACTCAATGAAAGGGTGCTGAAAGCTGCTCATAGCATCATAAGATGCAAGGCAATAAAGAAGATTTTCCTCCAATAAATAAACTGTTACTGTGACATTACTTCAATGTTTGATCCATTTATAATAAAACTACATGAAACTGCACCAATGAAAAATAAATCGTGAAGTAAAATGTGAAATTTTGACTTGTATTTGTCCCTGATGCCTTTTTTGATTAATAAATAAACTCATTTATTATTCTATAAATAAAAAACAAAGCATGGTACACTTAGTGATATAGCTAAGTATTTTAAATTAACTTAAAAAGCACTTGATAATTATAATAAAATACCTATTTAAGTATTTAAAAGCTTTATTCAAGAATAAATAAATAAAAACATTTCTAAGGCAGCTAAAAATATCCAGAAAAGGGAGAAACATTTAAAACTAAATGGAGAATAGGCCATAAGACAAAAGTCTGCAAGTTTCCTATTTTGATTTTTTTTTTTCTCATTTAAAGTAAAGTCTGTTCCCTTTATAAACTGAAATTTGGCAGACCCTTTCTCCATTATAAGCTCCTTCACATTTCAATNTTTTTTCTTACCTTGAGTTTTTAAAGTTTCTTGAATTTATTTCTGCAGCAGTTTGTTGCAGCTGTGATGGCCTTAAATTGATTTTTAAAGAAAGTACTAGAAGACGAAAGATTACCCATCTGTATCCTCACGATAACCCAATAGAACCAAAATTCAACTAAACTGGATTTGGGAAAAAATACACCAGTCTAAGACCTATTGATCACTATGGAAACTCACTGAAGCACAGTTAGTGAAAATAACTCAACTGATTGAAATGAGCTCCACCTTACCGATAAGAAGAACAAACACATACTAAGAAGCAATTATGTCTGTTAAGAATGAGCTGTTTTTTTTTCTGCAATCTGCAAAGAAACATTTGGAGAAAAAACTTAAACTATTTTCTAAGCAATGAAACTATCAGATATTAATTCCACCATAGAAAAACTTGAAAAGTGGTGATCTGTTTATATAAAACAATCATACCAGCAAACAATGAAAAAGTCAAACTTTTATAAATTCGATTCAAGACCTGACAATAGGTTTGTTTTATCTGGAGTTGTGCAGGTCACTTGTGATGGAGAATTGAAACATTTATTTGATTAGACATCTAAGCCAGTGAACCAGGAACTCACCTCTTGACTACCTCATTGTCCACCAGGCTGCTGTCCACCACGACTATTTGCTTGGGGATGGACACATGAACGCTTAGCAGCCCTAGAGTCATCAGGCTGAGGGAGACGACGCAAGCTCCTCCTGGATTGTTCAGAGAGAACTTCAGCATATCTGATAGATCAGGAGGATCCTGTGGAGCTGCTCCGGGTTTAGCAGCTGGGGCCTCTTCTGGCTCTTCAGGGACATGATCATCTGTCTGCTCTCTGCTTGAGGAACCATCATCAGCTCCAGATTGAGCAGAACATTCTGGGATTTTTTGTTCATCTAATGTGATCTTCTCATCAGTGCTCTCAATCTTCCCATCCGATTCCACAGGTTTCTCTTCTCCCTGCATTATACTTTGGCTGTTGTTTACTTCGGTTGTGGATTCCTCTCCAGCTGTCTGCTTGTGAGAGTCCATGGTTGAAGTGGGCTTTCCTTTTCTTGCCGTTTTTCTCTCACACGTTTCCTCACTGGCTTGTGACCTGATTTCAGTTTCATGGTAGAAAGCGGTGGCTGGTCGGTTGTCCCCTGTCCCGTTGGTGATTAGATTTCTCAAGAAGCAGAAGGAGTCGGTGCACAGGGAATGAGGAATGCGCCATGAGAAACGCCTGCCAGGGAGGGAGAAAGGAAAAAAAATTCCTTAGAGTTTTGAATCCTGACTAAAACCATTGGCATTCTGGGCAGAGAGGTTCTGAATGCCAATGCACTTCATGAATTTTAGATCAGTTAAAAATGAATTAGGGGCTTGCAGTTTGTCAGATTGTTTTGCAAAAGTTGCCTTAAAGTTTGATTAAAACATTTCTGCTTTGTTCAGGTTTATTTAATTTACTTATATGGTCCCATTAATAACATTAAATTTCAACGCACAAAATAAGTCAAACTAAGAATTTCTCTTCAGTTACGGTATATAAAATCCAATTAACTCCATAGTGAAGTCAATCTAAACATATCTATCCAAACATATCAGTCCAGTTTAGTCCAACAATAATATGGTACACTTATATTTAGTTACCGCTTTATCAAAAGTTGGGCATCTCAGCTTAAATCCCACAAACCACTCCATTATACCTCAGGACCAGGCTCTATGTATGTGGTTCTATAGTACCACCGGATTTAGTCACTTTCAGTTTATAGGACACGCTTCTAGATTCCTAAAAGATATGCAAAAGCTTCATTTTGCGATACAGCCTGAGCAGAAAACACCAGCTTTTAAGTTTTCTGCATTAGATACATTCATTTCAGGTCACCCTATAGACATGATAGCAAATATTTCAGTTAAGGCAAGCTTTGTTTACGGAAGAGGATTAGGGCCACTGGAAAAAAAAAAAAAAAAGTTAACTGATTTTTTTTATTTTATTTCAGTATAGTATGGGAAAAAAGTCAGAATTCTGACTTTTTTCTCAGAATTCTGACTTTATTCTCAGAATTCTGACTTTATTCTCAGAATTCTGACTTTATTCTCAGAATTCTGACTTTTTTTATTGTCAGAATTCAGTCAGAATTCTGAGATTAAAGTCAGAATTCTGAGTTTTTTTTCTCAGAATTCTGAGATTAAAGTCAGAATTCTGAGAAAAAAAACTCAGAATTCTGAGATTAAAGTCAGAATTCTGAGAGAAAAGTCAGAATTCTGAGATTAAAGTCAGAATTCTGAGAAAAAAGTCAGAATTTTGACTTTAATCTCAGAATTCTGACTTTTTTCCCATGTTAAACTGAAATAAAATTTAAAAATCAGTTTACTTTTTTTTTGTTTTCAGTGGCCCTAATCCTCTTCCGTATTTGTTTGCAAAATCCTACAATGCTTAAAAGAGTGAGCTACTTAAATGGAGAACTAGCAGAATTAAAGTTGAGCTCCTTCTGGTGAAGTAGAGGTCTGCATATTTCATCACTACAAAACTATTAAAATGTAGGAGTGATTTAAATCTCCAAAGTTTGATTGTTAAGATCTGGGTTTCTATGATGGCACAGTTACTAACAACATTCATACTGATGTTAGAATAAAATGTATTTATTTTTACACTATTCTGCACAGTACACATTTAAAATAAGTAATAAGAGGAATTATTAAATAAAAACACAAAAAGAAATAAATGTTATCATAATACATGATAAGAAAAAAATCTATTTGCTCCATGAATAAAACTTCTCTTTTCATATCTGAATAGAAAACAAGACCAACCTGTAGTAGGACTGAGACATCTGGAATGACATGGGCAGAATGGGAAGACATCTGTTCCTCTTTGGTTCCAAACTCGGAGTGATGCGGCGCCGATTGTACAGGCCCCTCTTCCTGCATTGGACGAACACTCGACAGAGCAGCTCCTGATCATACTTATTGTACGTCTGGAAGGTCTAATAGAGGAAGCACATAAAGCTTTTACAAAACTATTACAATTGGAAGAAAGTCCCAAATAACCCAAGCCATAATAGATACTTTTAAAATGACTTCAGAAGAGCAGTAATTTAAGTATTAACATGAGTTTAACCATAAATGAGTCATAGTAGCACCTGACAGAACAATCTACAGAACCTGACAGAACAATCTATTTTGGTTACCTGAAATGATCGGGAAGATTTCATCTGACCATTGGTCATAACCAGAGAGCTCTGGATCAAATTGTACAAGACGACAGCATAAATGTCTTCTTTGCTGTGGTAAATAAACAAAAAAGTATTACAGGCACCAAACCAGATCTATTTGTTGAAAAGAAAATCCTCTGTCAAACCAATCCTTACCAGCTGATGGTGTCTTTGTAAATGACATGTTTCCCATCATCTATTGCAGAAACTTTATATCTGAAGAATAAACATTAGGAAGATTCTTATCTTGTTCTGCTTTAAAGATAAACAAGTTAAATTATCCATTCTTACTGTGAAAAGATCTGCTCTTGAGAGTCTGGTATCATTGGGGCACGATCATCCATGATGGTTTTGAACTTCTGTCTAAGCAGGCGCATGTATTCAGAGAAGGCTTTGGCACAGGCCTAAAACATCACAGCCAAATTCAGTTAAATTCACATCTCTTACAATCAACGTACAATAGAAAGTAAACAAAGAGAGATCAACAAACCTCTGGGTCATTAGGGTCAGCCGGTTTGTTCTCCTCCAACAGTGTCATCAGAGCTTTGTCCTGGTGAACCTCCGCCAAACAGATCCTGAGACAAACAGTTGTTGGGTAAAACCTCATGAGAACCATTATTTACAAAAACAACAAATTTTTTTGAACATCTGTAGCAAAGCCCCACCTGTAGTTCAGAACCGTTTGAGGATTTTTAAGAATGTAAGTTGAGCGACGTGCAACAGAGACAGACGTTTTATCTTTCGATTTGTCAAACTCTGCGTGGAGAATGTCTCTTACAACACAGTGAGGCACAAAAGGCCTTTTAAGCTGCAAAAAAAAACAAAAAATGCACAAATCATATGCAGATGGTTTGTTAGAAGTAGAAAAACACAACAAAAGATTAAGAAACACATAAAGCAGATGATGGGCAGATCTTAAAGAGTATTAGTACCTTGCTGTTGAGCAGGTCTGACGCCACCGAGCAGAGCATCATGATGGAGTCCTCCTGAACAGACCAGTACACTCTGTTTCTGGTCATCCGTTTCAGAGCCTGGTGGTCTGTCGCATCATGGGCTAGAGTGCGTTTTCTAGGTTCTTACCAAAAAGTTTTTAGTTTAAAATGCATCAGCAGTGAAATCACTAAACCTTTTTCATTCATTCACCAGGGCATACAAAATGCTTTAATAGTGCACTAACACTCCTATCAACATAGCGTAGAGTAAGCTTCATTTTAATAACAGACAGCAGGTTTTTGCTAATTACAGAAATCCCTGAACTTGAACCAAGTCAAAACGAACATTTCACTACGGAAGAGGAGCTGTTAAGTGGATATTAGGGCCAGAAGATATGATCAAACCTTATTATGTACTTCTTAACTTTAGTTTTCAACATTTGACAAAACACAATAAAAGCCTCAGCATAGCTGAAATATCAGATGTGATTAAACATCGCACCTCCATTATTGAATGAAAATATATTGCCATATATTGATATTGTATTACTGTCCAACCCAAGCAGAATTCATTTACCAACTTGTGGTGGATCCAGGGATTAAAGCAAAAAACATAAATCCTGAGCCTGAACTTTTTCGACACAGGCAAGAAACANTACTGTACTCCACAGTACTGAGAAGTCCCCAGACAGTACATCGGCTAACGCCAGTCCTGCAAGCAAGATCCTGCCATCATGCCCATACTGTACCAATGCCCAGCACTACTTGAACCAGTGTACTACGTTCAGTCAGCTCACTACTGAGCAGCGCAGTGCCTGGATCAAGAGCAACAGAAGGTGCTGGCGTTGTGCTCGTTCCCACCAAGCCGCCCAATGTCGACTGAAGGCTAGGTGTAAGTCCTGTGGAGGGAGACATCTGGACGCCCTTCATGACCTCAACGCAAAACCAGCCACTGAGGAGAAATCCTTCCTTGTGAGTGCTCCGACCAACGAAGTACTCTATCTAGATCGCAAGGCAGGCTCCAGCCAAGTGCTCTTAAAGGTGTTGAAGGTGGTGCTACACCATGGGGAGAAGGCTTTGGAGACTTATGCAATACTTGATGATGGCTCAGAGCGAACAATGCTCCTTCAAGCTGCTACTAAGGCCTTACATCTGACAGGTGAGCCAGAGGAGATTGCTCTTAGAACAGTGCACCAAGACCTTAAAGTGCTGCAGGGCTTTTCTGTCTCATTCACCATTTCACCTGCCGGTCAACCGCAAAAGACCTTCCAGATCCAGAGAGCCTTTACTGCAGACCTTCTGGGATTGGCAGAACACTCTCAGCCTGTTAAGATGCTCCAGCGCCGGTACAGACACCTGCAAGGCCTGCCGCTCAGAACGCTAGATAGAGTTCAGCCAATGGTCCTCATTGGATCTGACCATCCTCACCTGATTACCCCGACAGAGCCAGTCCGATTGGGGCCACCAGGAGGACCAGCGGCTGTGAAGACCAGACTGGGCTGGGTCATCCAAGGGCCCACTAGTGTTGTTCGGCAACAACTCCAGCCTGAACTTTGTTTGAACATTGGCGTACTTTCACCCTCAGAGCAGCTCCAACACCATGTGGAGAAGTTATGGCAGATGGATGTGGTGCCATACAAAAGTGAAAGGCTGGTGACGCGCTCGAGGCAGGACCAAGAGGCGGTGCACACGCTTGACACGAAGACAGTACGGGTGGAGGTTGATGGAGTCTTGCGCTACGCCACACCACTGCTACGTGTGAAGGATATGCCCTGCCTCCGCACTCCCAAAGAAGCTGTCCTAGCCAATCTGAGGAGCACTGAAAGACGTCTGCTTAAAGACCCAGAGAAAGCAGCAGCCTATGGGGCTGAGATCTTGAAACTCAAACAGGCCGGCTATGTTGTCAAGATTGAAGATGAGGAGGTGAACAAGTCAACCGAATCCTGGTTTATCCCACATCACATGGTGACGCACAATGGGAAAAATAGGATTGTGTTTAACTGCTCCTACACCTATAAAGGCCAGAACCTGAATGAGTTACTGCTACCTGGTCCGACCCTTACCTCCAGCATTCTTGGTGTCCTGCTAAGATTCCGGGAACATGCTATCGCCCTCAGCAGTGACATCAAGGGCATGTTCCACCAGGNTATATATATATATATATATATATCTATATATATCTATATATATATATCTATATATATCTATATCTATATATATATATATATATATATATATATATATATATATATGCGTGCGTATTTTCAAGCCATGCCAGGGGTGTGTGGGGGCATTGGATCAGAGATTGTATGAATGATTGAAGACTAAATTTGACTTCTAAAATTCCAACACCAAAAATGGACAGAAGATGGCAAAAGTGCATCTATATCTAGTGTAACTGAGGTTGTGTTCGGTGAGGGAAACACAAACCCTTAATTTTAACTTCCATACACGGTCAGTTATTGACGCAGGTAAATCAGCTGTTGCCGTAGTTACCGGCAAACGTATAGTGTGCGCAGCTGCATGAGCAGCAGCTTGATGACCAGGGTCTAATTCATGTTTGCGTAGCACCTTTTTACTGGAGTTCATGAACTGCATTGTGCCCACTCCATTCAATTCAGTTTTCTTCATCTTCCTTCTCTCCAAACACAGTTTCATTTTTTGATTTTAAGCACGTCTCTCAGTTGAATGGAGCCGTGAACGGCGCAAGGTGACTTTCCCACAATCTATCTGGCGACTTGAGCAGGAGAGGAGGCAGTACACGATTTCCTAAGACCCACCCCCTTCTTCTGATTGGCTAATACTGTGAGTTTCAGAGCGCTCTGGGTTTCTTATCTATAATTAAAGTGCAAACTAAATGATTACATGGCAGGAACAATTAATGAAAATTAGTCAATTAAATGTTTTTAATTTTGCCATCTATTGCATTTACAAGAACTCTCCTAAAAAATCAGCGTGTTGAAAACTCTACTGATAAATCTAAAATCTTCCAACAAGTTTAAGTGCCTTAGAATCATGTTTATTGGTAAACAGCAGATGATACCTTTCTTCGACTTGCGCTGGACCTTGACCGCTTCTTTTTTCTTCTTGTTCCTCTTCTGTCCCTTTCCTCCAACGACCTGCTGGTTTCTGAAAGCTGGCTCTATCCCCACCTGTTTACAGATGTAACATTCACAAGTTTAAACCTTCCCCTCAACTGTGCGAGGATATTAAACTTATAGAGAACTTTTTAATCAGCTTGATGTAGTAAATATAGCAGGGAACTATTAGAAGAACAAGAAGCTAACAAGACCTCATACCTTGATGTTTTCTTTGATCAGAGGCCGTTTGTTGGTCAAATAAGAAGGTGCAATGGCATTTCCTGTTACAAACATTTACCAAATTAAGCAAAAATATGAATCCAAAGAATAAAATCACAAGAACTTACCAGGTTTTAATAAAAGCAGTTAAGAAAAAAAGCAAAACCGCACAACTCACCAGCTTGAAGCGCCATCCTCAGGGCACTTCTACTCAGCAGACTTTTCAGTCTTGGTTGGGGATCTGGTGCCTGTGATCCACTTAACTTCTAAAAATAATATAAAAATTGTCAAACTTCTAAACAAGTAGAAACTGTTACATTTGCCAAATGTGATTTAAATGTTTATCATACCGTGTTAGTATTAAGTAGGTGACTTGTCCACAACCAGTTGCGTTTAAGATGACTGAAGAGCTCTGAGTCTCGACCTCCTGCTCCTCTACCGTCTCCTGGTATGGAGCCATCATCACACACCTCATAGCTGCCTCTGAGTTGGTTCAGGTAGAAGACATTAAAGGCAGGGGGCATGCATTAAGCATGACAACTAATTCATAAGATGTGCCCATAAATAAAGGAAAGTTTACATGTAACGTATATCTATTATTAAGATAGATATCACTGAGTGATAATGCAGCTACACTAAAACCAAGTGGAATGGCCTTCAAAGACTGAGCTGAGATGATCGCTGGCTGCAACCTCTCCTTCCCAAAGAACCTGTGCACCCTGCTGCATAAACTAGGTACGAAAGAACACCTCCTACCCCGAACCCTTGGTGATGGAGCTGCTCTCATAGATTCAAACAAATAAGAACAACCCTTAGAAATAGTTCTTGCATGCTGACATTCAAGCTGCCCTGATTTACGCCTACAGGATACAGACAACATACACCCATTTTATCCTTATAGACGTCATGCTAAGTACGTTTCTGATATGAGAACATTTTTTTTTTTTTTTTTTTTTATATAATCTTTAAGTCCTATTCCTACAGACAGAAAAAAAAAACACCAGTACATGTAAAGGCATATCAGAAGTAATTTAAATTTAATTAAAAAATTTTATACAGAATAAAACAATACAGAAACTCACTCACTAACTCGAACAAGCAATCTTTTAAACAATACAATCGAATAACAAACATTTTTGGACAGGCTTTATTTAGAAACCATTTACATTTGCATTTCATTTTTCTGGGCTTTATAAAAAAAAAAAAAAAAAAAAAAAAAAAAAAAAAAAAAAAAGAGCTCCGGAGCTCTGATGTAATTAAAGTCTCCAGGGCTGGGTCCATTAATTGAGATCCTCAAGCATGCAGCAAGGTGTTCCCCCTGAAGCTGGCTGCGGAGATCTGATTTCACCTAATAGCAGTTTTAGAACCGGGCAGCTGGGACGGCATTTTTATAAAAAGAGAGTAGATAGTACATGAAAACCTCTTTCCAGCCCCTGCGCCATACCGCGAAGAGGCGACCGGGCCAGAGGCTGCTGTTGAACGGGATTCATACTGACAGCGCATCGCTGGTATGTGGGGGTCTGAGCGGCTCCAACAGAAATAATATTTGAAGGCAGGATGTTAATCTGGATGGTTTGACTGCACTGATTTAGTTTTCAGGTGGATTTTCCCAGCTGAAGCAGCTTTGCTGCTCCTGCTGCGCGTCAGAACTAAACTGGTACAAGCATCAATAATAAAGCAGCAGACGCATTTTTGCTGCTCTTGCTGCGTTTGGTGTGAACGTCCGACGTCCCACTCTGGCGTCGCTGGATTTGATACGCCAAATGTATCAAGAAGTAAGTGACGTCTATGAGCGTGGCGCGCATTCATCCTGTCGCTTGGTTACGGCTGTAAACAATTTGTCTCTCTATGGCGTTGGGTTACGGGCGGTATGAAAATACAGCTGTGGAACGGTCTGATAAACTGACAGATCTTTTTGTTGTTGTTTTCTATGGCAGACCGCCACATTCTCGTTCATTAATGGGAAACACTGTTAAAAGTATATTGTTCTCATCTCAAATAATTTTAAAGCGTACTTCTATAGAACAAAGGCATCAGAAAAGAGAACTTTAACTTAACTTTAACCCTGAGATTGAAAAAGCTTCCTGGATGGGAAGCGAAATATCTTCAAACTTGGAAACAAAGTACATTTGGATTGTTTTTTTAAACTTTTTTTAGAAGCTCTATGAGTGCTCTACTAGAAGCTGCTGCTGCTGCAGTGCATGCTGGGACAGCTGTCAATCTTAACAGACAAGTCTGCTCTGGTGCATACTGTGTAAAGAGGGAGGGGCGAGAACATCCGGGGACTTTGTCTGTTCTCAGGCTTGTGTTCTTGTGAATTGGAACAGTGCTCAGGCTGAAGTTGATGGCGTTTCACGAGCACGAGAACACACAAGTACACATATTGAGAACTTAAATTTTACTTACTTTAGCAGGTAACCCATTCCAACAATCACGCTGTGATCGTGCACAAAAGGAGGAGTGGATTCATCAGCTGCTCCATTTCTCTTGCTTCGAACCACGCCTTCAAAAAAATAAAAAATAAATAAATGAATCAGATCCTTAAATGGTGTCATTGAGTTTACATGTAAAATGAGGTGCATGCAGCCGTGCACATATGTACCCAGAGGTGTGTTGAGGCAGACACACATCAGGTCGAACCAGAAGCTCTCCACATCCTGGGCAGTGTTGAACACGTAATGGCGCCGCTCAAAGGGCTTGTCAGGGGGCTCCTGGACCAGCCAGTAGTGAGGCTCTGAAGTGGTTGTGTCGACAATGGTGGCATTGCGTTTCACATAAATAAACACCTGGATGAGTGCAAAAAGAAGAGAATAATTAGTCAAATTATCTATTAATCCTCTGGTTCTTTCTTAAAAAGTTTGAATCTAAATAAACTTTGAATCACACAACAACAAAACAATTAAAATGTTCAACTTTTAACACTTTGCAGTTATTAAGAAACTCTTCTTTATAGTTTTTTTTTTATGCAGATTCCTCTGTACCTGGTCTTTGTCTTTGAACCTTTCAACAACACCGAACTGCAATAAGCCCATGTAGGTCAGCTTCTGCAGGTTCACATAAAAGACGTGGATGTATCTCCTAAAAGAGAAGGAGCAGCTTGTCGTTTATCACACGAACCCACAATGTCTGGAAGGAAGTAGAATTCAAAGGTACAAAGAGTGAAGAACAAACTGAAAGGCACCTTTTATAAAGAAGCTGTCTTTTCATTCTTTGAGGCAGTGCTCTCACAAGATAGTGCTGCTTCACAGGGTCACTGAGATAGTCCTCCAGTTCATCCACCTGTGGACACAAACAAAACCAGTACGCTGCTTTAATAATCTTGCCTTGCTGTTGCCTGTACATGTATATAATGTAAGACTGGGAGTTATTGCATATAAATGCCAAGAAACAGACAACAAGATGGATTCTGATGTAATTTATTGGGTAAAATTACTAAAAATAAAGCGTGTTTCACAGGTTAAACTATGACCTGGGGAAGTGGGGGGAAAAAATTAAATAAATAGGGTCATATCTTTTACATCTGATGCACTTCCACTCCGAATACTGCTTATCTACTTGCCAAGATGAGCAGTGTTTTTTTCCTGTTCTCACATCAATATCTGGTTTTATTATATTTTTTTAAGATTTAAAGAATCCACAGACCATCTCAGAAGAAAGTGCTCTATGAACACCTTGAAGAGGTCCCTTGATTATTACGGTAGCTAAATTATTTTAGCTAATATTATTAGCTAAATTATTATTAGTTAAATTACTTACAGAGCAAAACAAGACATCAGTTTAAAGTAGCTGTGCAGGGATTCTTCTTTTAACAAAGAGCAGAGCATGAGATCAAATACTTTGGTCCCAAGTCACTGCTCCAATATTTGACTTAAATTTGCCTCTATAGCTATGGTCCAAATATATGGCACACATGATGTATGAGAGCTCATGTTGATGAAACCTTTAAAATACCAGAGCTTATCTACTGATCAAGCCGTGTGTGAAACAGCATCAGATTCATGGAAAAAAGAAATCCGAGCATTATTTGGGCTTGATAAATAAGGATAATTGACATTTCTTTGCATACTTAACCATAAACAACTAAGCCTGATGAACCAGACTAAAACTGGCCTGCCAGTTCTAGGGCCTGGGGCATTGATCGAGGCTGGACCACTCGCAGTCAAAAATTATTTTGGCCGCTGGCGGGTGGTGCAAGTTTACTAGGCAATAAACTACCAAATTTTCAGACTGTAAGCTACTACTTTTTTTCCCCACGCTTTGAACCATGAGGCTTATAAGAAGGTGGGGTTTTTCTCTTGATTTTTCCCAACTGCCAGAAGGGGAAGTTCAAAGTTGAAAAGGAAAGAAAAAGGGGCTAATTTTCATTTAGCACAAGTACATGCTAGCAACAGGAGCGACTGACAACAAATGTCTCAAATTCACACAATTTGACATTTATTTGCCTCATTAAAGCTGCCGAACCAGTGAAGACTGGGCTCAACTCCTGCAGAACTGAAATAAAGAGCTGATGAAGCCCCATCTGTCAGTAGAAGCTCTTACTGCAACCAAGTAAACAAGCTAATGGGAGCTAGCATTCTTCTTCTTCCCTACTACAGGGGCTATATGTAGAGCTCCCCCTACAGGTGTGGTGGGAGACAGTTCAGTAGATGTCAGTGGCGTAAATTACACCCGACTCGATTCAGTATCAATTTCCTGACCGACCGATTCGATTATTTTCGATACTGAAGAATACACCACGATACGATTTGATTAATTGGTTAGTTTTTTGGGGGGGGTTTTAACTTACAGGCTAGAAAATGTTTCAAATTTAAAAAAAAAAACCAATGAAAGCTGTAATAACGTTATGGATTTTATTTGAGAAACAGCAGCAAATAACAGGAGTAGCAAAGTTGTACTCCACCTAGGCCTATGAAAACCTCATTCAATGAAAAATAATAATGCCTCTGTGTGCTATAGTTTCTGACAGGCCTTGCTTCAAAAAATACTGCAATGAGTGCATAGGTGCACTAGTAGATTAAGTAACAAAAACAGGCCTACACTACATTCACAATAATACTCAACATATGTGCAATGAGTGCAAAAGTGCAGTAGCAGCAAATGGTAACAAAAATGACACCTGTATTTCATTCACCATGTCTGTCTTGCCTACTGTTTATGAGAGTGTGTGGGCAGGCGAAAGAGGGTAGTGGCTAAAGGAAGCGAGGTAGGAGGGCGAAATAGATTTAGCGCCACTGCAGCACGGGAGTCAGAATTACGTCCAGGAGCAAATGAATAAAAATTGACCGGCATGAATCGCTACTCTTGCGGACGTGTCAATGCATCAGATCGTCGGCTGTTGGATTGATGCACCTATAAAAAACGATTATCATTTACACCCCTAGTCAGATGCTTATATATGTATAGTTCCACTTTTTTTTTTTTTTTCCAAAAACATTTTGTGGGCGCGGATTAAAGAGCAGTGCGCTCTATAGTTCAGAAAATATGGTAACAATCATTCAAACTAGTATATATGTCAGACAATTTTGTTTTAATCAATCCTTTTAAACATGCCAGTGGATCCTTTAGGTTAAAAAAGGTCACTTGTGCCTTAAGGTACTCAGACAACAATTGTGATCTCCACCTTCCAACGTCGATGTGTTTTTATATTACCGTGCTTTAAGCTTTAAAAAAAAAAAAAAAAAAAAAGAGTAGATGAAGTAAACCTTACAAACAGAAATATGGAAAAAGTTGCTAAGGAGAAACATTCAGTGCACAAAGCTTTCAGGCTACCAGTAGATTACGCCAAATTCGCAGTAGAGAGCAAGTAGCATACTGCTAAACAGAAATTGATTTGTATCCCTGGAAGCTTTTTTAAAACTAACAACCTTTGTTTCTTTTGACTAAAGTGGTGCTGAGGTTTTACAGTGGCTCTGAAATTGGTGAGTATCACCAATAAGGTCCAGTCATCCAATATTTGGATCAAAATATTTTTCAAAATCACTTTTTTTTTTTTTAAACGAACCTCCTACCATCTTCTTTTCTTATCTTTTCAGAAATGCTGATCTCATTTCATGTAAGTAGCATTATTTGTAGAATGAAAATAGAGTTTCCTCTCGTTTTTACCATAGAGACCTGAACTTTGTAGAGCCCATTTACTATGATGTTATGACAGGTTAGAAATTTCTTTGCAGACAACATTTTGATAACATTGTCAAAAAGATTGATCTTACCTTGTAATTAAACTGTACGATCTGCACAAGAATGGAAAGCGGCAAGCAAAGTAGAATATTGCGAAGCATCGCCCAGCCAGTAGAGAAGCCTTTTTGGACATAAACAGGCGGGACAAATCTCCTCCATGAGTGTTCATCAACATACACTGTCAGAGAAACAGAACAAGGTTAACAAAAAAAATCTGTCTTTAAAGTAATTTTAATTAAAATAGTGATAAACCTGATGTAAAAAAAAAAGATCTTAAGGAAGCCTGAAAATAACAGCTTCTTTAAAGTGATACAACTTTAGCCCAATAACATCCTTTTACCTTTCAAGTCAGAGTCACACTGATCAGGTTTAGATTTATCACTCTGCTGGCTATCTTCATCCCCTGATCCCTCGCCCATCAGACTTGAATTAGAGGTTTCAGATTCTTTCACATCCAGTTTTGCTTTGGATTCTGGGAGCTTGGTGTCAGGATTGGATTCGACTGGTTCTACTGGTGTCTGACTGGACAAATCCGGCTTAGAGGCTTTATCTCTCAGTGGGTGGTCATAGAGCAGGTACCAGAGAAAGCTATGAATGACCCGCAGACGGATCATTTTGGGCTGGAAGCCAAATGTTTTGCCAAGTCCAGGAACTGAAAACAACAAAAGAAATAATAAATTAATGGAAAAGAAAAAAAACGGTTGGAAAATAAATAGTAAGTAAATCATTAAATTTTAATTATTTAAATTGGTATATTATAGCTAAATAACACTTTGTTTTAGGTAACTAACTGGAAAAGAAATGTTATATGCTTTGGTGAGGTTAAACGTGCTTGTTTATATAAAGATCTTAGGGAAGACATTTTATATCATGATTAACATCAACATATTCTTCATTTGATAAATAATCTGATGACAATCCATTAGAGACAGGATTGGTAATCTATTAAATAAAACAATGAGCAGAAATGGGTTTTATAGCTGCTTTGAACCCGTAGTTGGCAACCTGTCCCTACCTGATCTGTGATGCTCTTCAAAACCAAATTCTTTTTGCTGTTGTTCTGTTTAATTTCCTTCTTGTCTCATACAGCTACGGAAGGAGAGTTACTGTAAATCTTCTGTGATGTTTATTTTTGTTTTGTCTCTTTTCATCGGCAAATCCGTCTTTCCTTTCTCACTCTCTCTTTCCCCTTAATTCTCATCCCCTCTTTTCTTTCCCACCTCCCTCTCCGTCTCTGTTGTATACGACTTTATTCCCTGAATTATTTTCAATAAAGTTTAATATACAACTACCAAGCAGAATCTAATGGCAACAACCACAATGGTTTGCTTGTGAAAGTTTTGGGCTATCATTTAGCTCTACCCCATAGATTCCCAGAGCTATATTGGTAAAACAGGATACACAAAAAAAAAAAAAAAATGTTTGAACCCTAAAACCTTATATAGAAATATAAAATCCAAGTATTAAATTACTAACTTATATTAATTATTGTGGGAACAATTTTATTTTTCTCATGTAAATTAGTTAGATTGTTTAGAACTGTTTTATTTGAAGTATCTGTAAAAATACAATGAAAATATTATTTTATTTAAGGCTTTGATAGTGTGAGAATATCATTCTGGCAAATGTTTAAAAAGTATTCAAACTGTTAATTAAAATTCTTAATTTTATTGGGATGTGATAAAAAGCCTGCTCACTAAGCATGCCTCTGTTTAAGAAAGCTGGTTTGACAAAATTAAAAGTACATAAAGGTAAATATAGGAGGTTATCAAAAATGCTAAATGATTGAAGCCTTCCCTTATGAACCTAACAGATCTTTGAACTACATAGATCTTTTTATACTTCATAAGAGGAGATCATACCTGTTGTGGGCTTAAAATTTTTGTCTTCCTCATCTTCTAAGCTCTGGTGAAGAGCATCACTCCTCTGTTCTTTAGATGTGGATTTGAGCTGCTTCTCTTCAGCAACCTGCAGGCTAAGGGACAGGAAGAGAAGAGGAAAAGTCATACAGAGAGATAATTCAGGTTAAAAATCAACCACAAAGACCTAGAGGACAGTTCAGTATGTATGCATTCATATAAATAATCTAAAACATCCAGACATGATAATAATAATGAAAGAATGTTATACTTCCAGCATTTATTTACACTCAGTCTCTATGAGGACCACACAGTTAGCATAGCTATTAAAGCAGGCATCTTTATTTTTAGCTGAGCAGGTTGCCATAAAGTCCTGCTGGTCAGTGTTTGGCAGACTTGTTAAAACTTAGTGGATGGCTGCTGAATGCAATCGGCGGTGAAAGCTTTAAACTGAACAGATGTGATTCCTCACTGTCCACTGACCAACAGTTCTGTCCTTTTTGTCTTTAGTCCAGTTTGGACTTGTCTAGCATTGTTTGTTCTATGTGGCTTGAAGCAAGTTTTGCAGCAGCTCTAGTCCATGATTCGGTTACATCAGTGTGTGTGTAGGAGCTTTTCTAGCTCTGAATCCTGCAGCACTCCACACAGTTTGTAAAAAAAAAAACACTCTGCTCAGGAACCCAGAGTGCAGGCTGTGGGTTTCGAACTGGTACTTGCAACCTTCTCCAAGTACAAGCACACTGCTCTAACCCACTGGACCAACACTCGTACAATTGAAAAAGACGCTGGATACGGACTCTAAAACATTTTAAAAAATGAGCCCCTTTCCCCCCAATTTCGAAAACACTGAAATCAAAATTTTTGAATGGATTTAAGTAAAGATCAGAGATCTTGCTGGTGCTTACCGTCCAGCTGCATATGAGCTTGAGATTTTGAAGCGAACCTCGTCAATGAGTTGAATAACTTTCTCATCATTGGGTTGAATAGATGGATGAACAACTATGTTCACCTACAAGCGTGAAGAAAAGGATCAGAAGCACTTGATTACACAATAATCTGATTAGTGAATAAATCCTGCTCTAAACAAATCCAGCTGTTCTAGTCTTTGTTGCTGCTGGAATAAACTGAAGAAAGAAAAAAAAAGCACAAATAAAACTTAGTTTAATAAGCACCATTTACCAGAAAGGGCTGAAATATTAAATATTCGTATCTTGTTCACCATTGAAGTGTGTTTACCTTTTTGGTGACGCCGTCCTGCACAACAGTAGTGGTGTAAAGCTTCAGTAAGCCTTCTTTGGACAGACAGTGGACAAGCCGTAAAACAGTCTTTCTGCAACACTTTGTATTAACACCCTCCTGCTTTTCTGCTTCACTGATTATCTTCTGTAGCCTAAAAAAAACATGCATAACCAAGTTAAGCTTTGCTCTATGTCTTAATTCAAATGGTATATCAAATTCACAAGGAGAAAGAAAAACTGACGGGAAAAAGCCTTCTACGATCTTGAGGTTACGGATGGCTTCAACAATTAAGTTCTTCCTCTTCAACAGGCGGTACGTCTCATGGGACCTCTGAAGGGATAAAAATAAATAAATAAATAAATAAATAAATAAATAAATCAAAAGAAAGTGTCAAATTCAATCCTTTTTGATAGGGGAACACAAACGCAGGGCATCATTACCTGTGGTTGGAAATCACTCTCAACTTCAATGATCTTGGTGCTGGATGAGTTATCAGATGAAAGAGCAGCCTCGCTCTGAGGCAAAGAGCTGGCAGGAGATAAGTTGGGTTGTTCCTCTTCCTCCACTAATACAAAATACACATAAAAAAAAGAATAACAAAAAGATAAAAAGGAATGGTGGTGTTTAGAGATAAAATGCTTTTAAGACAAACCAAATTAAGTTATCTAGGTTATAGGTCTCATTACGGGTGACAGATTTTTTTCCCTCCTTTTTTTGCTTTAAAAAAGAATTCGTCATATTTAAGTGTGAAGTCAAAGAATAAACTTGATTTTCTAGTTTTACAAAACCTCACAGAAGAGGAGAAGTTTACAGTTTAAGGTAAAAACATGCATTTCCTGATTAGAGAAAACTTAAACAGGACCAAGAGAGATGATGCAGAATGGTAAAAAAACTGCAACTAATCAGTAATTAGCATCAAATAGGACTTGTCTTTTCAAGATTTTGTATTTCTTTTTAATCAGCTCTATTAAATAGTGCATTTTTGTGCACTAGTAACTTTTCTTCTTACCAGGTACATAATTGACTTCCTTATCTCTACTGATTTTATCTGAAAAAACAAAACTTAGCAGAAGTGAGACAAAAGGGGTTGTACTAAAAGCTTGATAAACAATAAATTCTGTAAACTTTGTTAAAAAAAAAAAAAAAGACTTATATTTTCGACTGTTTGAGATCTTTCAAAATCTGGCCTTGGCTAATGCCTGCATGCCACAAAATTAATCAATCACTTTTTATTGAGGGTAAAACGATATTATTGGTTTGTCTTTGATTAGTCTCACAGCAAATTGTCTCCTAACACAACACTTAAACATTTGCTGGTGAACAATGTCCTCTGACTAGACAATTAGATAATGGTGTTTCTCTATTCTGGTTTTAAAAACGTTTGGTGCAAAGGTGGGCAACGTTATATATATATATATATATTTTTTTTTTTTTTTTGTACCAGGGCTTTTGCAGTAAAAGCAGCAAGAACAAGTACCGTGTAAGCAGGTGCTTCATACTTCATTGCAACTGTTTTTTAGCACCTATTCTATTTGGTTAAACTATCTATTCTTAGAAATCCAGATCTTGTTAATGTTTCAATTAAGTCCACTGAAGATTTTGTGAATTTAACGTAACAGTCATGGCCGTCATTATACACTAATACTTAGAGCTGAAACAATTAATTTATGAAGAAATTATTAATCGTTAGCTTATCTATTGATTGATTAATTGCTAACATACAGAATCCGACTAAAGCAGTCAATCAGCATAAAATGCAACCAACTCAGAGCAGCAATTGAAGAACTACTCAAATAAAAAAACCGGAATTAATCCAAAGACATCACCCATAATTCTACTTGTTTTATTGATTAACTAAATATACAAATCTCTTTTAGCGCCATCTAACCATCTAATCCATTACTTTGACAATTTACTGCATAACTGTTAAAATCTTGCATAGCTGTCTAAAACCATCAGTTTGACGCCCTCCTCAGGTTAAAAAGGGTCACTGCATCTGACTGCTGCAATTAGCCTGGCCTCAGATATGCCCTCATCAACAGTGAGCTGATTTTAGCAGCTCTACCCTGGACAGAGGTGGTTCACTTGGGGACTGGCAATTAACTATGAAGATCTGTTATAAACAGAACTGAAATAATTCTTTCAAAATGAAAATTCATAAAAAAAAATATTAAATGCATAAAAACTGGATAAAAAAAACAGGTCTGCGTCATCTTTCCAGTCCAGTATAACAGTTTGACATTAGTTATGTTTCAGGCACTGACAAGGTCTTAAATATATTTGGCAGAATAATATTAACTGAAGCCCTACTAATACTTATTAAACACTTAAAAATGTATAACTGATTACTTTTCAAACAACCGTCTCTGCAATCACGTTTTAATACCACAGTGTTATTCATGCTAAAGTTTGGGAATTATGGCTAATCAAAGTAAAGACATGTCTTCTTTTCTTTAATCCCTTTTACTTTTTTTTTACTTGATTTTAAACATTGGATACATCATTTTCCTTGTTGGCTACTAATCTCTGTTTTTTTTTTTTTTGTTTTTTTTTTGCACCCAGATTATCCACCCCTGGGATGCAGTAGCTTAAGTTTAAATAGTCCATATTTTCAAACTACCTGCAGTTGGAATGTCAGCAGAGTTCAGCGTTGTTTCCTCCATAGATCCACTGGAGGAGGGGGTCTCACCTAAGAAGTTACAGAATGTTTTCAACATTACAAAGCTGGTCATTCATAAAACTCCAAGAGTTATGATAAAGATCCATTGTAGGCTTAATGCTCACATTCAGCTTGAGTAGATTGTGTGGTGGGAGTGTCAGGTTGGGTCTGCTTTGCTGTCATGTTGTTTTCCTTCACACTCTTCTTTTTTCTTGATTTCGCATTTACTCCATTACTTTTTCCATCTGGATTTTCATCCACCGAATCCTCTGTGAGATTTTCACAAACCAGCTGCTGCTCCTCTTCAGCATCCTTCTTTTTCCCTTCACCTGCTTTCTTGCTATTCCTGCCTTTGGGGGTTTTGCAGCCTTTGGTTTTGGGCACTTTCGAGGTTGACGATGTTTTAGAGGAGTCTGGCTCTGTGTCTAACACGTTTGGAGATGAGGAGCACAACAGCTTGCTTCTCTCCTGCTCTTTAGCAAACAGCTGGAGTTGATTGCTGCCACTCACAAATCTGTCGACAGACACAAATAGGACACAGCGATATGAAATAACGAGGTTCTGGTTAAGGAACGTAAAACTGAAGCTTATTGTTTATACAAACTTGTGGCTAATGAATTTGTAAGTCCTCTGCCGACCCTCATCCTCCATGAAACTCTGTAAGGTGAAAGGAATTGAAAATAAAAAAGCAACCGAGAAACAGCTGACTTATACACATTTATGAAATATAATTATCAGAATTCCATTAATCTCTACTTTTTAAACATAAGAAGAAAAAAAAATACATGGAAAAAATAAAACATGTCAAATCTTTTTTTTTTTTTTTTGTTTATTTTAAAGGTCCATCAGTATACAAAATTGACATTATAAACATTTTGCAATAGTCATGTGTGTCCTGAACTTATTAGGTCCACAAGAGAACCTCCATCATTGCCTTTCTCTAACTCCATGTGCTCAGTCTGAAAAGCCTTCCCTTTATGATGTCATAAGGGGAAATAAGCTGTCCAGAGTGGGCTAGCAGTCAAACTCCAGTCTTCATTTAATGTATTATTCCACACTCCTGGGCTATCTTTACAAACACTGACTAGTTATGGTTGCTGCCCCCTTCAGGAGGACAGGCGTATGGAAAGCCAAAAGAGCTTGTTTTTAGAATGTAGGCTGAATTAAGTGTTTTTTGGTAAAGGCCATCTGCCTAATCAAGAGGAATTGTCCTGCAAAAATGGCAGTAGCATAATATGGGACATTTAATGATTAAATGGAAACTTGGGTTTTTGTACAGAACAGGTTAGATTTAAATAACCAACCTAACTATAGGTTATAAGGAAGAGAGGCTTTGTTTTTAAAATGAATGTAGATTTTAGGGGTTTACCTTAATCACATCAGCCTTGCTCAGGTGTCGACAGATCACACGGGATTCTAGCTTACCAATGTTCAACCTTAATCCGACCTCCCTCTGAGACATTCCCTTTGTACCAGAGGACAAAACTGAAACAAAACAAAGGACAAGAAATAATTTTGCATGCAATCTTTGGATTAGAGGAGTCATAACCAATCTTTAAAGCACTATGACAAGATTACTTGATTTGATAAACCAATCTGGGACCATATCTGGGTACAAAATAAACAAAACCAAATACTTAATATTATTGCTAAATACAACTTAGGGAATTAATTACATTCCCAAAGTACCTATAAATTTAATATCACAGGACAGTTCAAACACCTGGAAATCCAAATTTTACTTGAACTGGAACTCTTAGCATCCAGTAATTATGAACCCCAAATTACTGAATCGAATAAATCTCTTCAACATTGGATGTCTCGTCCTCTGTTTATTAGGGGAGAATAAACTTACTCAAAAGTAATATCTTATCCAAATTTCTTTACTTATCTCAATACATTCCTCTGTTACCTTCTTCAGTTTAGTTTTCAACATTAAAAAATATTTTTGGGGGGATTTATATGGAACTGATACTGAATCGAATCGCCATGATGGGTGTGATTTACACCCCTACCACAACCCGTTTCACAAAGAAAGCTTGGAGCTCCGACCAGCATGATGGCCAACCAGCACGATCAAACAACAACCAAAGTCCACTTTGACATACTTCCCAAAGTATGTTCTGGTGGTGTGCTAAGATTTCCTTATTTGTCAAACCCATAATAAAGTATAACTTTACATGACGCTCAACATTCCTCACTTTGGGGAAGAAAGTGCTTCTTATAAGAGTCGTCATAAAAATACAACTATTAACAAATTATCTATTAACTAACATTGCACTATTGCGACTTTCATTCTCAGAAAGTTGCAACCATTTTTTTTTTCTCCTGAAGTTTTTTTTTTTTCTAGGAGAGTGATAAACTGCGCTTCCTGTCTCTCAAGGCTCAAAGAGGATCATACTTCATCCATTTTCTGTCCTCCTATTATATTTTTTAATGTTTCATTTATTGTTTTTGCCAAAGTCTCTCCCGCTTGCTATATACGAGATTTGCGACTCCAAAACTGACCGTTTCCTGTGCGATTAACAGATTTTATTTTGCATTTTCCCCCAAAGTGAATGTGTTTTACTTTGTAACCACGTCTATCTTCCTGTCAGACCCATGAAATGGCTGCTGAATTGTTTAGTAGTAAGACTTAAATAGACCTGGGGTCCATCTCAGTTGAACCTACGCAGCCCCCATTGCATAAAATTGTGTTGGGTTTGACCATCCCCACTGACTTTCAATGAGCTCCACAACCTCGTCTTACAAGATTTTCTGCCAGACGGGAAGCAAAATCGGATTCAGTGTGTTCTGGCCTTTACACCAGTAGAACTAAAAGCATCCCAGACATTTAAAAAAAGGAAATAAAACATAAAACATATATATTGTATTATAAAATGTGTGTATTTGAGAAAATATGTAGACTTTTCATTGAATATGTTAAAAATGTAAGCTTAGCCCCAGAGGAGGAAGGTGAATGAGTGGGTGAACCCTCTAAGGTCCCATGTTTATATAGTGACATTATTTATTTTCTCTCCTTTTTTCCTTTCTTGAAATAAGCGTCCATAGAACGTTATTTATGTACAGATTACCTGGTTTACATAGAGGAGCATTGCTGATTGCTTACTTTTGTTTGAGCTTTTTGTCAAAATGTTTTAAATGTATGTAATATCGACCTCACTCATAAAAACTTAAAAATATTATTGAATTAAAAAAGGATATTTTACTTCATGTTTGTTCATTTATAAAAGAAAGAAAATTAAATAGAGCTAATTTAGACCCTTTTTTTTTGCTAGGGTATGCACAAGAATTAGACTTGTACATATGCACGTTTACATGTATGTAGCGTTAGCAACGTTAGCAGTTTGCCATGGTTCATTTTCCATGGTTTCTTCGTCCTAATAGCTCGACTAGTTTTTACGTGATGTCACACCAGGAAGCAGAATGTGAGCCTAAATGAAGACATTTTTATTTTGGACTGTGAAAAATATCTAAAGTGATTTAAATTTTTGCTTCTTTCTCAAATAAAGGTGATCACACTCACTGATGTGATAGGCCTGTGACAGGATGTCCCTCTCCATGATTCTTCCTTCTGAGGGGAGTCCTCCTCCTCTGCCTCCAGCATACTCTTCATCTTCATCATCCTCGTCATCAAAATCGGCAGTGTTTCTGTTCCCGTATGGCTTCAAGAGCTTTATACAGCGCACAAGAACTTTAGTGCCTAAAAGACAGGATTCAACTCAGCAGGTTTCAAATACAAAAAATAAGTCTGCATCAGTTGCTTGGTTCTCTTTTTAAAATTCATATGCAAATTATATTCAGACGATATCTAACAGACTGGTGTGAAAATCTCCAGCAGCCTATCCATCATGATGCTTCGGAGTAAAAAAAAAAACAAACAGAAAAACTATTTTACCATTTTTATTGGTGACAGGTTCCGCGGTGGGATCTATTTCTTCTATAGGATGCTGAGAAAACTCTACAATTTTGCTGAATCGGAAGCAACTAAACACACGCTTTAAAGTCTTTTCATTCATATTCTGAAAGCAAAAAAAAAAAACAGATCATGAACACTCTAAATGATAATAAAACATGAATAAAACTATGCACATAGAGATGCTCACTAATTGTTTTTTGAGATAATCCACAGGGCAGAACTGATTCGGTAACTGCTGCAGAAAGTCGGACACTTGCTCCAACAGAATATCATTTTTGCTCCTCCTGGAAGAGCAGAAACAGTGGACAACAAAAAGCATGAATGATCAAATACATCAACTTATCTATAGGATAAAGGTGCTCTTTTTGGCTCTTTCTCTAAGTTTGTTCTATTTTATGGATCTTTGGGCGACAACAATTCTGGAATTGATTAATGACAGCAAAACAACATTTTGTGTTTTTAATTTGTCCTTGTTTCGTTTGCTTATCACCCAAGATTACATGGCCTTAAGTATCAATGGGAACATAACTGAGCATTTGCTCCAATCTTTTAAACATTGAGAAGCTGTAAGGATTGATCGATGTCATTTAAAACTAATTTATACGGATCTATCAGATCAGTTCAACTGCACAGAACAGGGGTGCTTAACATGCAACTCAATCACACTGGATGTTATCTATTCAGAGCAGAAATTGCATAGAAATGTCCACTTATTTGATAGAAAAAGGTAACAGAAAAAAAACCCTCTGCTGAAATCCATTCAAAACAAAACTTCTTTATACTAGAGAAGTCCTCAGAGAGCACAGACCTCCACCAAGCATTAAATTTTGCTGCATATTGTGACTTAAACCTATCATTTAGACCTTGTAATCAATGCCAAGGAACAATCAATGGATTGTTCCTTGGCATGAGGCAAACCTCTGATAAAAAAAAAATTCTTTATAATCCGTTCTTAAGTTTTCTGTTGATCCTGCTAACAAACCACCAACGTTCCCTATTCTTGTTTTGTTTTTTGTATTCAGTAAAATACCTCCAGACTTTGAGTCCTATGCTGAGGCTGTCGCTTGTCGCTGCTGCCACACTCTGGTTTAATGGGGAACTGCTTGTTCAGCCAAATATCCCTATCTCACAATGTTAGAGAATCATTAAAAAATTTATGTATACAGATTATGATCTGGATCACCAAAATTCAACAAATTGTTCCTTTGCATGAGCGACACCTCTGATAAATTTCATAAAAGTCCATCTAAAAATATTAAAAGTTATCCTTTAAACAGACAAATACACACACATACAAGCTCTCCTAAAAACAGAATCGTAATCATTAACTTCCTTGTTTAGATCAAGAATTTAAAAATCTATGAGACTTATAGAAAAGAAGCCAGATTTATATTTATAATAACTTCATATTGTAAGAAAAAACACTATTTTATTCTTCCTGACATGGATCTCACCTCAGAACTAAAGGTCCGGTTTAATATCCTAATTTTTTTTAGATCTACAGATCAGAAAGCTCTGAAGTGACCCAGTTTTAGCTTATAAAAAGAAGGAAAAATGATGCCTTAGTAACAATCTATGTGAAAAAAAATAAAAAAGATTTTTTAATATAGAAGTATTTAGATTTGTATGTTTTATGTGATGGAGTTAAGAGCAAAGCATAAACACTTTGATAGAATTATCTTGTTTCTAAATGAATCCAGACACTGATAAGGAAAAGAAAACATGGAGTTAGCCAAAATACAGCACACTTTTTGAAAAATTTTAAAAATACAACTGAAAATCTTTTTTTTTTTTTTAAGACTTTTAGACTTAGATTATATTTTGTCATTTTGTACACACAAGGGTAAACAAAAAGATATTTCGTTAAGTACAGCTCTCTTCATTTTTTTTAATTTCATTTTATTTATTTTTTCCACTGCCGAAATCATTTTAGGTAAACTGGAATTATCTATATGGAGCATCTATGTAAAATCATGAGTAAAAGCATATATGTGTTCCAAATGACAAAAGATTAAAGGCAATCATTAAAAATAATTAACATAAAAAAAATACCGGTGGTTTGGGCAGTTATTATATCCCTGTTATATAATAACTTAGCAGTGATGCTGATAACTCTTCAACTCTTGCTCTTGTAATTGGTAGAAAGACTGATATATTTGGGGACTAAACTTATGAATCTGCTTCAGTTGAAAAAATACAGCAAATCAGAGCCCAAAACTTCACAGAAATAAATAACTAAGCCGACCTGTTTACATGGAAACGTTTCAGCAGGAGGAGAATGGTGTGCTGCTGCTGTCCTGTCGTCAGCCGTCTGATATAAGACTGCATGGTGATCAGGTCATGCTTGACAAGAGACTTCCTGAAATAGTGCATCGTCCGTGGGTCTATCCTGTTAAGAATCAATAGCTTGTTACAGTGTAAAGATTGAAACAACTCTTGCAGCACAAGGTCACAGCAAAAGGCAGCTGGCGTTGTCTCCTACTTGAAAAGGGTTGTATGCAGATCACTTTGTAGTTCTCCCTGCCAACGTCCACGGCCGATCCGCTCAAGCAGGCAGAACGACTCGTTACTGAGTTTTAGGTCAGGATCGGTCCCGCTCCCGATCAGAGTTCGGAATCTCAGAGCCTGAGATGCAACGACTACAAGTTTCCGTCCATATCTGGAGGGAAGAGCGATGAGACAGGTCAAGAAAATTATTAAAACAGCTGCATTGCATTTCTGAGAAATGTGAATACTTTATGAATTTGAAATTCATTATAAATAGTTTGGTTATATCACACACTTTTTAACTTATGTCATCAAAAACCACTTTGCAAGACAAATTATATAATTCAAGTGAAATGAATATGTTACAATTCAATCCTAGTTTCAAATAGAACACAGGTAAAAAAAAAAATATGCAAGAAAGAGACAAGACAAGCTGATTAATGCAAGAACACCATCTCATTCTGATCCTATAGCAGAACCACACTCAATGCGAGCGTGAAATAATCCTCAGCCTGAGGAAGCAATTACTTTGAAATCATGATCATTTCAGAATCAAACTTTACTAACTTTTCCATCGCTTCCTGTATGCTAACCAGCGGGGTGAGAGACTTGCAGCGGACATGCTTGGTGACATCCTTCCTCTCTTTGAAGAAGACACACGAGCCTTGAATTCCATCCTTATTCTCAGGAATGATACTAGCAGGATAGATATTCATTTTCTCAGGGATGAATTTGTGTTTTATTTCAAAGCCCGTCTCTGGGTCGATGTTGATAAACCTGAATGACACAAAACATAAAAAAGGTAAGATAACTCCAAGGGTTATGTGTAGCTTTAACCTTTGAATGCCAGCCTTTAATTGGGAAAGCTGCTCAGTTGGGTTTGGAGTTTTAGCTCCAAATATA